TAGCAAATCTTTTGGGGGAAACTTGGGTAGTTTTTTTTTTTTTTTTTTTTTTTTTTTTTTTTTGTGCCGGGAATTGAACTCAGTATTTGTTTGTTATTGGCTCTTTGTTAGGGTGGGGACCCAAACGCCAGGGACACTGGAGGCCAGACAGCCCTGAAATGTGTGGTAGGACTCTAATCTGTTCTTAACCCAGTAAATCTACCAAGACATGTCTGAAGATAGGGGTTTGTCATACTAGCAGAGAGAGAAAAGTCCAAACCTGTAGCTGAACTCTTAATGGAGTTTTAAGAGAGGGTTTTGATGGAGTCATCTCAGGCCATGCTGGAAAAGAGCACAAAGAGAGTTTACCTCCCACCTCACAGAGAAGTGCAGGGGAGATGGTGGATAGTGGAGATTTTCTCTGCTGGTAACCCAGCTGGGCTATCAAGATCCAGCTTACACCAACTGGCTTTTGAGTACTGCTTGGGAAGGAACCCTAGCTGGGTCTTCCAGTTGCTGTTCCAGCTTTCACCAGCTCTATGCAATGAGAGATCTATCTCTACAAAGGAATCCATCTCCCTGTCAGCTAACATTCCCACTGTTTTGAGTGGGGGATTACCCAAAAAATGCTAGAGAACTTATTCTTTGCATGAAGAATGGCAGCCAATCTAATTAGCTTTTGACTAGTTGGTGAAGTACCCACTGTTTCTTAGATTTCTATAAGGGAACGGAGAGAGTGGACATGTGATCTAGCTGTTCTGTCACACTTACCTCTCAATAGATAAGATGAAACCCATGTTGGTGTCAAAGATGAAACCAGCTCCTTCCCTTTGCATTCTTGTTCAGAGGCACTGAAGAAGGACGGGACAGAGTAAAGCAAGCAGGGGAAACTATCAGATCCAGATTGTTACATAGAGCAAAGAAAATCCCTTGATAGATGAGTGGGACAAGAGGATCTCCATATAAGCACCGAAATCTGGAAGCCTATATAGTGCATGCAAAAGGGAAGATAAGTGGGCAGAGGACTCACAAAAATGCAGGCTTGCTGCTACTTGTTGTTGCCTGCCGTTCCACTGGATTCCATCAATTTTCTGTCTTCTGCAGGATAATTTCTCTGAGACTTATCTCACTTTGCCTTTACTGTACTTTGACCATTGCCCCTTTTTTCTTTATTTTCTTGTCTTCACTAGAATGGGAATCACAAACCCTTGAGGGGCAAGCATGCCTGACATGACTGAGAAAACACAGAGAAGCCCATGTCCTGAGTGGAATGAGTGAAGGGTGGAGAAGCAGAAGATAACTCAGAGAGCTAAAGGGAGAGTCATATGCACCGTCATAAAAGTATGTATTTATTTTGCTTCTTGTTATTAATATGAAGCATACATCAATGAGAATTCTAAGTAAAAAATGAATAATTTGACTTAAACTTGTGCTTACATGATCTGTAGAGAAACAAGGATGAAGCCTAGATGACAACTCCAAAAATTACCAGAGTAACACAGGCAAGCACAGATGTTGCCCTTCAACAGGCATTTCCTCTAATATAATTGCGACTCATCTTGAGTTTACCCTCTAGACTTGGGTTCAGCTAGCAGCTCTGTCTTCTTCCCTGTCTCATGAAAAAATATAAATGTTTCTTTTCATCCGCATGTACATTTCTATGTAAATTGCAACACACACTATGTGTCAACAGGTCGGGAATAGAATATTTTGAACAACTTGGAGCAATCTTGCTTTATACCACCACTTGGTCATATTCAAGCCCTTACATCTATATCATAGGTAATTGTTGGCGTTCCCATCTGTTCTAGGAAGTGCAGATTAATTTTCAGTATCCAATATTACTTTTCTTGAATATGATGATTTTTCAAACATTCAGTCCTGAGAAATCATGAAAAATGAATCCAACCAAAAACAAAATTAAAATGTTTGGAGTTTCTTCAAAAATCCCATCTTAGGCTTTAATTAAATACTCAGTATTGAACTAGTTAATTGTACTTCATATACTCTCACACTGAATTATCTTGGCCTCTAATTTTTTCTCAGATAGTGGCAATATAAATTTGCATATTGAAAGGTGAAAGTAAATATCACAAAAAACTCTGTTATCTTCTCTTGGATTTTTAAAAAAATATTGAAGAACCCAAGTTTATTTTTCAATTCAGAACTGCTATACATGCCTTACCCAGTATCAAACTCATCTACACTTTTGGAAGAAATGCAGATTGTGCCAGTAATTCTTGTATAAAAGATGCATAATTTAGAGGCTTAAGATTTAATAACCCTTTTTTTTTACATGAAGGTAAAAGCAACACAACACAAAATTACATTTATAGTGAACAAGTCAGTGATTTGGCACAATTTCTTCTCACATATTAACAAACACAAAGTTACAAATGGCTCCCAACAATACAGAAATCCCCACAGTCCAGTATTAACAGTACTGTTACCATATAGTGGATCCAATGCATAGAATCCAGGCTCTTGTTTATGGCTAGCAAAGAACTACAAGTGTATACCCATTGGTAAAAGAAAATTCAGCTACATTTATTGAAGATAATGGGAAAATGTGTTTAGGACAAGCATGACCAGAAAAGTGGTGTTGGGGTGACATGGAAACAAACAGCACACAGATATATTGTGGATTTCGATTTTAAAAGATGTGCACCTCAGGCCTGGTGCCTCTCAATGGGTTTCTGGATAATATTGACAGGAATGACTGACAAGGTACTGAATCATGTTCAGGGGCTTTCAACACTCATGCATGCTCCAGAGCTTACTCTGATTACATTGCATACATGACATGCAGTCTATATTTATGAACCTTTTAAGGAAGTTCAAGTGGGGAAAATGTGACTGGAGATATCAAGCCATGAGTTTTAATACGATTGTGTCTGGCCTCGATCTTAGAGATCTCCTTGCTCTTTGTTATTTTATTTCTCCTTCTCTTAGATAAATGGAAGAAGATTGGCCCTGGAGTGTTGCACAAATTCAAGTGGATGGAAGGGAGTAGTCTACTAACCCCAATTTTTCTACCTGAATTAAAGCCAGTGGGAAATTGTAGAAGAACATGAGCCAAATCAGCACATAAAGAAATATCATTACCTTACAATAGTGCACTTTTATAGTAATCACTAAGGAATAGGTGAAAATTGCAAAATAATGTATCATAAAAATTGCAAAACATGTTCTATATGCAAAATTCTAACACTCGGTGATAAGCTTGTTTATGTTTTAAAATTGCTTTCAGATCCTATTTTTACTTATAATATTTAAAATGGAGAAAGCTTTCCCATTAGAGTAACTTTGCAATAAATTACATTATGCAGGATTCTATTAGAGAGGTACAGTTATAATATCTGAGTTATTTCATTCAAAAAAGTTGGAGTTGCTACTTTTGGATGATGATAATCCTAATCATGGTCACACTGATGAAAATAATAATTGATTGTAGTGAAGTTTTTTTCTCATTCTTTACTTAGTAATTCCAAAGTAATTTGTTTCTATGATTCTGGAAACAATGGCCACGCTCCTATTCATGCAGGAAAGATGGCTGTGGTCATGTTTGTCACCTGATGCAGGGTTCACAAACAAGAGCAAAATTTTGTCAAATGTTTGGTTTATGAACCAAATTCTTTGCAAACAAAAGTGTGGATGAACTGAAGCACCACTGTATATTTTGTCTTCTACCTATGCCTATTATGTTGGAAATTTAGGAACAAGTCATAGAAATATGCATGCCTTCCAGGGGCACTTCCTGAGATAAGAAACAATTCTGGAAGAGCCAGAAATTAAAATTCCCTTGAAGCACCAAGGGCTTGTGGCTTATTTCTGGAAAATGCTAAATCCATCTTACAATGAAAATTCAATCTTGGATGCCCTGACACCATGTCTAGAACTCTATGTACTATAACTTAATATTTTCCCCATGGAGTTAACAAGTACAGAAACCACAGCCTTTCATCTTATTTCTCAGCTAAGATTAAAGTTTGCCAAGCTGTCAACCCTTTCAGCGTTTAGTTTGACCTCAAATACCACTCTCTTAGTTTTGCTTTTTGTAGTCTTTACAATCTCAAATACTTTTAGCCTTCACCTCCTCTCCCTGACAGGAGCTTCTCACAGATACTGAATGAGGAAATATTGCATGGTTGGTCGTAAGCATTTCCCATATGAATCCATACACAATTGTGAGTTGCGTGTTCCTGGGTAGCTGTGCTTCTGATTTCAAATCTGTTAAAATAAAACACAGTGATGTAATTAGCACAGCATAAGGAATACTGGCTCACAGAGCTGAAATAAAAATACCAATGAACAGAATTTTGAAGTGTCTGTATTATTAGAAAAGGAGTCTGAGTTTGAATTGTATTGATTCACAAGTGCTACTAGAATTGACTCCATAATTAAGGCAGTAAAATGACTCAGCATTTTTCAGGAAATACCATTAGCTGTATAAAATGAAACTAAGCCCCTGATAGAGAAGAAAACCTATCAAATATTCTATAGAAAGTTGTTTATTTACCTTTTAGTCTATTACCTAGATGTTTATTTATCAAATCAAGCAATAGTTTAGTGAAATTACACTGGGTATATTTAATAAGAAGGCCAAACAAAAGAGTTAATGCTGAAGAGAATGTAGAACTACATGAAAAATCATAGATGTCAATGCCATTTAAAGGCAGGACAAACAACCTTCTACATTTTACTGCATCCTGAAGGCATGATTTTATTACAGCACATGTTGAAATGTATAATAATTATTACTATGGGTAAATGGAAGCATGGCCCTGTTCTCTCTGCTCCTCAGTCTCCTGAAGGAGTCATGTTAATTAGTCACAAAGAGTATCACTGAGCCTCCATGCAACAATTACAATCTGAAACTCCTTACTTTGGGTATCTATCTGTTCTTGATCCTGAGGTTGGAAGACAGAGAATCATCTTTAGAAGTGACTAAGACTAAGACCAAGTACTTTGATCCAGGTCTCAGGGAGAACTCTGACCAATGTTCTCTAAATATTTCCCCTGATACTCAAGTAGCTAGATTAAGGAAACCAAGAATTAGTAATGTATATTTTTGGTAGTTAATTAGATTGCCAATTTAGTGGCTTGAGAGCTACCTTGGGGATTAGCTCTGGGTGCATCTGGAAGAATCATGGAGGAGTGACATGAGGACTATATCCGGTCTCTGGTCCCTTTCTCTCTGAGTCTCCCCCAGTCTCTGTTTTCCGGTTGCCAGGAAGTAAGCAACTTCCTTCACCACAACTTTCACCATCTTGTTTCTGCCTTGGAGCCCTCTGACTATGATCTGAAGTTGTAGATATCAATATTTTGTCCTAGCAATGGGAAAGCTGACCAATACAATATCAAAACACTAATTTACGCCTGCACCTGAGATTATACAAAATTCCCTACTTGCACATTTAATACTACAGCAAAGGAAATTCATGAGAAACAAACTACAGGAAAGAAGGAAGTAGGTTTTGTACATTGTTAAAATATACGGTGCTTGTGTTAGTAGTAATTAAGTGATATTAAAATACAAATATGATCATACTCAGTGGTTTGTGCTTTTTACAGTGAAAATTACCTACCAGGAGAAAAATGCCAAGCTACCCTATGAGCTTCAAATTAATTCCACAAGCATTTTAAGACACAATTTCAACACATATTGAAAATGTTGGAACAAACCACCAAGTGAAGGATAGGAGAAAATATAACAGGAACAAGTACCAGATATATGTGTGAAAAGTATGAAATTTCTAGGAATTGAAAAACAATATTGAGAGCACAGGACAAAAAAATGGGAATTATAAACGGCAACAAGTTAGGTTTGGGAAAGACAGCTACAATTATAGAACTGAAAAATTCACTCAAAGAATTAATGCAGATGTTTAAGAGCAAATTAGCCACTGAGGAAGAAAAATTTGTGGATCAGAGGATATATGAGAAGTAAAAGTCAAAGATCAAAACAAAAACAAAAGAGAATGAAAAATACAAGAAAAATAAAAAGAAACACATGAGATATTGTAAATGAGTCTATAATAACTGTAACTGAAATCTGAGAAAAACCAAGTATGGTTGAGAATTTTCTAAAATTGAGAAAAAATATCAGATTTTAAACATATTGCCTTCAAACAGGAGATCTTTCAAAAACAGTAAAAAATCAGATAAAAGTGAAATAACATCTTCAAATGGCTAAGACCAGAACCTCAAGCCTCTAATTCTATATTTAATGAAAATATTTTTTATAAAAGTCAAACTGACAGGTTTTTTTTTGTGTGTTTTGTTTCTTATGGTACTAGAGATGGTGGGCTGTCACACTGAGCCACATATCCCACCTATTTTTAAAAAAAGGTTTTTTTGAGACAAGATCTCACTTAAGTCACTAATTTTCACGGGCTAGGCTTGAACTTGCAGTTCTCCTACTGAACCTCCCAGAGTGCTGGAATTAAAGGTGTGTGCCACCACAAAGAATCCAAGTGCAGTAGATGTGCTGTAGAAAACATATAAAAGCATCTTCTTCAGGTTTAAGAAAAATGACTTGAAATGTAAGCTAGCAAAGTTGGAAATCAATAAGAAACAATAAACAACATAAATATGTAAGCAAATATAAATGAACATAGGCTGCATAAACATGTTTCTATGCTTACACATACACATGTAACACATCTCCAATGAAGCTATATTTTGTTGAATCAAAAAGGATATCAGTTGTAGAGTGTACCACTAATTCCATCTAATTCTGTGAAATGAAGTTTATTGAAGATAAGGAATATAAGACATTGCAGAACCTGGAAACCAAGAGATTATTTTGTTACAGGTGTAAATGAAAGATAAAACAGCCAAACAGAAAATAATAAGATAGTGCTGATCCCCTAATCTTGCTACACAGTGAAGATAGGAAGAAAAATATAAGTCCCTTGAGAAGCTGGTACTGCAAACTAACACTCATACAGTTCTTCTTTAAATGCTACAGTAAACCAAGTACAGCATTTAATTCAGAGTGGCCAGAGGTTTGTGTGGCCCCTCTTTGATCTGCAGAAGCAAACTCTAATGATGGAGCTCATCTTCAGTTCATAGTAACAAAAGAAGTGGGGAGGGACTAAACAGAGTGTTCTAAGAATTCTACATTGATCAGGAAAAACATAAAAATTCCAGTTGATATTAGATTTTGAAATACAAAATATTAGTCTTTGATAAGTAAAGAATATATGCTGTAATCACTAAAGAATCTACTATGCTATTAGTAAGAGACTTTAAATTAAGAGAAGAAACAAGAGCAAAATTTAATAAAAAGTATTAAATCAGATGCCAAATTAAGAAAGAAAGAAAAGAAAATGTAACACTTAATGGGCAGATACAATTCTAGATCTACATGTTCCTAATAATATAGTTTCAACAATCATATTAAATGTTTACAGAACTATAAGTATAATTATGGTGGGTATTTTTAGCACAGTTCTCTTGTATGGGAAAAGCAAGCACATAAAATGACAGAAATAGTGTCACATGCAGTAAGTTCTTTGATCCAGAGAGTATCTGTGATTACAATGAAAATCAGAAAGCATTTTGAACTTAATGACAATGAAAATATATTAAAATTATACAGTTTTCACTGCAGGAAAAGAAAGCTCGAAGTTCATGAATCAAGCATCCAACTCAAGAAGTTAAAGAGTACAAACTAAACACACACACAAAAATAGATAAAAGGAAATAATAAGGTGAGAGTCAAAATCAATGAAAGAAATGATAGAGAATCAGCAAAGTCAAAAGTTATGGGATTTTACTGAGGGAGGATTATTAAATTGAACCATATGCCTAATGAGATTAAGAGGAAGGAAAAAATAGTCACACATACATACTGGCATACACATTAGTGATAGAAACTTGTAATTCCTCAATCTTGCTACCAGGTGGAAATGATTAAAATTTCATATTTTATGGACATTAACAGAAAAACAAATGACAATTGCAAGTAGAAAGGCTTCAACACACAATGAAGAAAAATTCATAATAATACAAATGTGAAATATTTTTAAAACTTTATAAAATGAGAGATGTTGTTTTTAGCTTAATGATAATAGTTTCACACATTATGTGTATGACACCGTGCTAGTGATTTTACTTTTCTACCCTTTTTCTCACAATTCTGGTGGATACTCTTTATAGTCTCATTTATAGGTAAGGGCAGTGAGACTCATTAGAAATAAAATGACATATTTAATATCACACAAACAGTGAGTGGGCTGAAGCCTATGCTCTTGGTCCCCCGTGTGACACTGAGTAACATAGTCTGCTCCTGGATTGAACAATTTCAAACAGATGCCAGATGTCCTGCAGGACCACAGAAACACTTGAGTCAATAGCACTAATGACTATCCTTAGACTGTATAGGCCTCTTCCACCCTGCTCTCCACCCCACCCCGCACCTGTCACCACTGAGTCTCTTTCTTCTCTTTTGGTTAGTAAATCAGGTTCTTAAGTGTGTGCCTTGCTTTTTTCTGAGAAAGTTTTGTCTTTGCACGTACTTACAAGTTATAAGAGAAAATTGATCCATCATCCCAGACCCATAATGAGTCAGTCTGATTGCGAGAAAGCCCAATCCAAAAGGAATTAATAGGATAGGAAGACATTTCTCCTACTATAAAATCCTGTAGTGAAACAAAATATAAATACACATCAGAGAGAGAAAGAGAAATGTTATCACAGACATGAGAATAAAAAGAAAAAGACAACTTACTGTGTATGTTGATGAACAATACATGTATAACTTAGCACTCTCAAATTGAATGTCATTGTCATTTAATTTTCTCACAAAGAATATATTGATCATGCAAATTAAAAATAGATTTCTAATATCCGTGTGCTGCCTCCATTCAATGAACTCAACAAAATCCAAAGATGACAGGGTCTCTGGGCAGACTTTGTGGTTGACAAGCCACTATTTAATCCATATTAAAAGTAGAAATTAATACTAACCTTTTCCAGAAATGCCTTCCAGAATTGGTTAGCACCTTAAAATTAATTTAGTACCAGCTGGACATAGTGGAATACACCTGTAATCCCAGCACTTGGGAGGCTGAGGCAGGAGGACTGCTGTGAGTTCAAGGCCAGCTGGGCTACATAAGCAAGTTCATAAGTAAATTCTGTCAGCCCGCATTACATAGTGAGACCCTGCTTTAAAAATATATATATAATTTGGTCTCATTGCATATTTAACAAAAAATCTGGATTTCAAAGAGATATTTGAATTGTTGCCAAATTTAAGGTGATTTATTGGTAATTATAGGCTTGTCTAAAGACCACACAGATTTCTAATGTAGTAGAAATCTGCCAACTATCTGTCTTTGCTAAGTATCTGCTTTCATTAACATTAGTATGAACTACAGATATTCGGTATGACATTACAGAAACAAAAACGGAGAGCAGTGATACAGTTGGAGAAGTAACAAATTAGCTCAGATTCACGATATGAAATGTTTCATATTAGTCTTTTCCGTAGCTCATCCGAGGTCCAACTTTCATTCATGAGGCATTGGAAGTCCCTTTTTTTCTGAAAAATTTCTTATGACCACAGGGATATTGCTATACCTGTATATTATTGGTCAGATATTTAAGTTTTAACAACTTTTCTTTTTTAAAACAAATTTGTGTGCAAATCCAGTAATAGCAAGGTTACTTTTTAAACCTTTTTGCTTTTCCCAGTATCTTGAAAGTGCAAATGATTTATAAATGTATATTGTCATTGCTACTGTTTTCCTCCTTAATTCTGGTAACAGATAAGAAATTTTTCCATTTTACTCCACCGAATTTAGAAATTAAAATAAAATCAACAAAAATTAGCAGAGACCTCATTATTGTAGTAAATATGGAGTGCATATGAAAAGATTCAAAGTGAAACATGATTATTTTCAATTCATTATATTAACTGAATATATTATGTCCTTGAAATGCTTTGTGTTTGCTATGATTGCAATTATAGAGAACACTGAAAATAACTTTCTTTTAGGGAGAACTATATTTCCTGGAATCGCCTGTAGTTTTCTACTCAATACAAGAGCAGAGGCTACCCTTGAGATACTCTACCTGAAGTCTACACTTACAAATTCTTTCAAGGTGTCTATCTTGACGAGATGAGAGCCCAGCTGAGAGCACCTCCTCTTACTTCCATACCAGGAATCTTGTGAAATGATAAAGAGGTAACAGCTCTTCTCATGTGCAATCCAATTAGGCGGACAAGTGCTGGAAAAGACTCCTGGAAAGAAAAAATAATAGCCATGAAGTTCATAGTATTTCAATTCCTTCTTTCAAAGCTAGCACTGTTCATCTCATGAACACTTATGAGTTGTCACTATAAGCTTTATTTTCAACTCACACTACAAGGATATTGTTTTACCAACTAATTGAAATTTCCTTGTTCTTTTCAAATTTAAAAATTAGTTGAGTGATTATACTGTTTTAGATAGGTAACATCCTTTCCTTTTTGACCTGTCTTCCATTATATCAAATTCAGCCCAGAACTCCTTTTCCTTCTTTCAACTTCCTAAAATAAATATTCTCAAATCAGTCATTGCAGACACAGTAATTTGATGTCACTTAAGTTATTTTATGATAAAAGACACCTTGCAAATTATGGCCTTCCAAAGTATGAATGCTTAAAGGCAATTGGTCGTGTTTCAGAGTACTTCTGCTATGCATTATTAGCTACTTGATGAAAATTGTGAGAAAATGGAAATCAAGAGATGAGAAACTGAAGTGAAAATATTGTTTTAATCAATTATGATGTGATCAGAAGTGAAGTGTACATATAAAATTGTAATTAAGTCAATGAAATCATGGGATTAAAGTCATTTAACCAGAGTTTTCAGGAATATGTATATTAGGTCTATCTCTTTTCTACATTTTTTAATTTAGTACTTTAATTCTCACCAACATTTTTACTTCTTTACTTTTCTCCTACTGATCTTCTTTTCTTATGTCCTATTTCTTATTCTGTCTCATTTAGAAAACATCAGTTCCCTAAGGAAAAAGAATACTTTTCATTCCCATGCGTCAAATTGTACAATCTCCTGTAAACCTGTGGAACTAGCTAGTGATAAATGAGTTATTGAGTTTTAAAAATCCAACTTAATAAAAATCCAGTCATATGCATGATTTTTTTTTGCAAAATCACTTTATATATGACAGAGACACATTAAACTAAGTCAATATTGGTGAATGTGTTTGTATTGAATCTTGATCGTTGGATGCAAGCATATTTAGATCCCCGTTATTTCTCTATCCCAGGCCTTAATACCAAGAGGTGATCATGTTGAATGAAGGATTCCACTACACCTTTAACTCTACCCTTGCCTGTGGTTTTGAGAGCTTTGGTAGAAACCGCATTCTCTTGTAAAGATGACTTTGTGGGTTGATTTTGGTACTCCTTGTTTCTTGACAGAGAGTTGTCTTTCTTCAGTGGATTGCTCCCTGAATTGGATCTCCAAAATGCTTTACATACCAAAAAACAAAACAAACAAACAATAATAGTGACAGAAAAAAATAAGTCACTTTGCTATGCCTAAAAACTAAAATTTTAAAGTTCACATGTTAAATGGAATATGAAGGGATGCATGTTGGATTGGTAATTA